ATAAGGCCTTTATGGGTTTTTATTCCATTTTAACTACATGAACATCTTTTTATTTCGTTGTGATTTTAATTTAATATTTAATGAAGAATAAAATCACAGAAAATAAACTATTGAATCTATTCAAACTATTGAGAAATATTTAAATTGCATTGTTTGTTGTTCGGAATGAATTTACAGAAAAACAGTGACAGTGACATGAAGCAAGTAGATCACACAGCAGGTTGTGTGGCTCAAACTTAAATAGTACAATATGTTCAGCAAAGGCATACATTTTATGGACACAACAGGAGAAAATTGATATCAATTTTACAGATAGCATAGTATAGAATGTCATGCTAAAGGCACAACTGCAATGACACAAAAATAGGAAATGTATAAATGCAAATGCAAATACGTGCAAAAATACAGGCTGATAAATGTAGTATTATAGCTGTTTCACGCAGTGTGACCAAACATGTTTTACTCAACACTGTTGTTTGTTGAATCTCCAGCCAAGAAACTAAATATTATCACACCATGCATCACATTTGATCAATCACATTGGGTTAAAGCTATGGATGTTATAAAAAAAACAAATCAATGCACATTTGTGCCGATTGAGTGGATTTCACACTTTAATGAGTTTCATGGGCAGTATTTATACTATGATGAGAGGATCAGGATTGGAAATTGTGTATGGAGAAAATGCTGTTCAGCATATGATGTCAGGTAAAGCCGTTTCAAGAGCACTGAGAGGGCACTTTCTGGTGGAGGCTGCCTTCACCAATTAGCTTTATAACATTTCCTACCCTAGCAACATAAGGACAACCCTGTTCCAGAAGATGATACAGAACACCCAGAAAGTTCTAGTGCCAGCGATGACGAAGCTGATGTGGAAACAGAAACAACAAACAGTTTTGCATTGGTTATTCATGATTCTGTGGCTGACAAAAATCAAACTTTTCAATAAGGGGGAGACCGAAAATTTGCAGAACTGCAGTCTGCCGAACAAAAATAAATTTGAGGGCTCTGAAGAAATACCTAGCTATACCTAGAAGTCGCGTACTACGCGTACTAGAAATACCTAGAAGTCGCGTACTACAAAACTCTGGCTTCAGTATATGAAATATGTTGCACTTTATGTTAGATCTGCCAAAAGAATACCCATGGCTATACTACAGATTTGCAGAGCTTGGATATCACACGGTTCGGCGAAGTGACAGGTTCTGGGAAGGATTATGGACTGATTTAATCTTTGACCAAGTGATAATGTGGTCAATAAAAAGTAGAGGTGGTTTGACAAGAAGTCGTGGATTTTCTGAATCTGTGCGATTGATGTGGGTACACAGTGTTCATGAATATGGTGAAATTCATAATGTCATGACAATCCTCACAGGTCTTGAGCATACAACGAGTGAACAGCATATTGAGCTGAGAAAATCACAGGTAAAGCGAGTCAACATTGATTTATTGAAGATCCAGTACTGGTTTGAAAAGTTTGAACCTTTTGATTCCAATGAACCAAGTTTGAGAAGTATATTATCAGGAGTTGTTACCTCGATTGAAAGTGGGGTTAATTGTCATAACATTGAGAAAATAGGAGAGACCATTCAAAAATCACTTTACAACATGGCTTTGCAATATGCCAAACTTGCCAAAATACTGGAAGGTCTTAAAATCGGTATTACGATTGGCAAAGAAACTGTGCACATCGATCCCATGGTTCTCTTCGCTAGACTGATGCTTATACTTCAAAGGGAGGTTGATCTTTCCCCCTACTTTGCTTATGAATTAACATCTGTTCCTACAGCTCTGTTCGAAGACAACGTCATGAGAAAAGCCAACAAAGCACTCCTGACAAAATCTTTGATAAGTAACACACAACCCAAAAATGCAAATACAGTGACGACAGAATATGTTCTTGATGGTGGATCGCTACTGCATATAATTCGTTGACTACCAAACCTGATCTATAATGATATAGTCCAACAGTACTACGCATATATTGACATGAAATTTGGCCACTGTTATATTGTATTTGATGGTTATGAAAGTGGAGCCAGCACTGAAGACCATGAGCACCTGCGCAGAGCAGGGAAAACATCTGCAGATATCCAAGTACGCAGTAACTTACCAGTTTTCAATGTCAGGGAGCATTTCTGTCTAACACTAATAACAAGGTACAGTTTATTAAATTACTTGGTCAAGCCCTAGCAAATGACGGTCGTCGAGTGGTAATACAGTAAAGGTGATGCTATGCTGACACCTTAATTGCATCAACAGCATTCATTTGGCTGCTTCTGGTAAAAA